AGAGAACAATTGATGTGCTTTGGGGTGCCCCCCTGCCCCCGTATATAAAGGAGGAGAGGGAGGAGGCCAGCCCTAGGGGCGCGCCCAAGTGGGGGAAACCGGCTAGGACTCCTAGTCCTAGTCGGCCCCCTTCCTTTCTTTCGGAGGGGGAAAAGGAAGGAGAGGGAGAGGGAGAAGGAAAGGGGGGGCGCACCCCCTTCCCCTTGTCCAATTCAGACAGCCCATGTGGGGGCGTGCTCCACCCCTTGCGGGCTCCCTCTCTCTCCCCTATGGCCCATGTTGGCCCATTACTTCGGGGGGGTTCCGGTAACCCCTCGGTACTCCGAAAAATATCCGAAACACTCCGAAACTATTCCGGTGTCCGAATAACATCGTCCAATATATTAATCTTTACCTCCCGACCATTTTGAGACTCCTTGTCATGTCCTTGATCTCATCCGGGACTCCAAACAATCTTCGGTCACCAAAACACATAACTCATAATACAAATCGTCATCGAACGTTAAGCGTGCGGACCCTACGGGTTCGAGAACTATGTAGACATGACCGAGACACATCTCTGATCAATAACCAATAGCGGAACTGGATGCTCATATTGGTTCCTACATATTCTACAAAGATCTTTATCGGTCAAACCACAATGACAACATACATTATTCCCTTTGTCATCAGTATGGTACTTTCCCGAGATTCGATCGTCGGTATCCTCATACCTAGTTCAATCTCGTTACCGGCAAGTCTCTTTACTCGTTTTGTAATACATCATCCTGCAACTAACTCATTAGTCACATTGCTTGCAAGGCTTATCATGATGTGCATTACCGAGAGGGCCCAGAGATACCTCTCCGATACTCGGAGTGACAAATCCTAATCTCGATCTATGCCAACCCAACAAACAGCTTCAGAGACACCTGTAGAGCATCTTTATAATCACCCAGTTACGTTGTGACGTTTGATATCACACAAGGTGTTCCTCTGGTATTCGGGAGTTGCATAATCTCATAGTCAAAGGAATATGTATAGGTAATGAAGAGAGCAATAGCAATAAAACTTAACGATCATGATGCTAAGCTAACGGGTGGGTCTTGTCCATCACATCATTCTCCTAATGATGTGATCCCGTTCATCAAATGACAACACATGTCTATGGTCAGGAAACTTAACCATCTTTGATTAACGAGCTAGTCAAGTAGAGGCATACTAGGGACACTTTGTTTTGTCTATGTATTCACACTTGTATCAAGTTTCCGGTTAATACAATTCTAGCATGAATAATAAACATTTATCATGATATAAGGAAATATAAATAACAACTTTATTATTGCCTCTAGGGCATATTTCCTTCAGATATTTCTTTCTCTCGCTATCTCTTTGCCAAAAGAATCTTGATCGGAAATAATCCAATCTATGTAAAACTCCTTTCGGCAACTGGAAAAAGGAGATCATATATAGTACCATGTTACTTAGTACTAAATTTATGAGGACCAAGCTTCCACCAAGAGACAATAGTTTAGCTTTCCAACTGCTAAGTCTTTTTTGAAGTCTCTCCTCGACGTGTTTCCGTTCAGCATTCGCGAGTCTCTGATAATGTATCGGTATCCCTAAATATGTGATTGAAAATTGATCTTAAGACCTGAGAGTTGCTCGAATGCTGATAAAATTAATTTCAGATTTCTCACTTTCTCAAGGTCATGATCCATGAAGAGAATTGGATCGCCGACATATTGAAGTATAGAGAGACCACCATCAACTAGATGATTTACTACCCCATCAAATTGGCCATCAACCTTCGCACGCTCAATCATGACCGCTAGCATATCCGCCACTATATTGAATAGCATGGGCGATACCGAGTCACCTTGTCCCAATCCCTTATTCGTTTGAAAATAGTGTCCAACATCATCATTGACCTTAATGGCAACACTACCTCCAGAAACAAAGCTATGGATCATAGTGCGCCACTCTGCAGAAAATCCTTTCATTCTGAGAGTCTGTTGAAGAAATGGCCATTCGACTTTATCATAAGCTTTTTCAAAGTCTATTTTGAGTACCACCCCATTCAACTTTTTCCAATGTAATTCATGGATTGTTTCATGAAGGATAACAACTCCATCTAGAATGTGTCTGCCTTGCATAAATGCAGTCTGTGAAGGACGAATCACATGTTCAGCAATCGAATTTAGCCTAATAGTCGCAACCTTCATGAATATTTTAGAACTAACATTAAGGAGGCAAATAGTTCTATATTGTTGCATCCTTTCAGCTTCATTAACCTTAGGTAATAAAATAATCTCGTCAAAGTTTAAGCGAAACAATTCTAGTTGGCCAGCATGTAGGTTGCTAAACAAAAGTAGGAGATCCGGTTTGATGACTTCCCAAAAGTTCTGATAGAACTCAGGGGGAAAACCATCCGGTCTCGGGGCTTTGTTATGCTCCATTAGGAAAACCGCCTTTCTAATTTCTTCCTTAGAGTATGGGGCTGTTAGAAGGTTGTTTTCCTCATCAGAGACCTGCGGGATGTCATCTGTTCGAGACTGTGAATCGGGTTGAAAGTGAAAGTCGCCAAAAAGTGGCGGAATGCTCTCGAAACCAATTCACCCATTGAGAAGTTTCCTTCCTCTAGGGCTCCGAACAAATTTTTATAATAATTAGTGATATAAGATTTAAGTTGCTCATGCCCCTCAATCATGCCCTCATCCTGTTGTAAGGAATGTATAATTTTTTTCCAGTGTCAGCCATTGGCGACTCCATGAAAATATCTACTATTCGAATCACCTTTCAGGATAAATTGGGAGTTAGAATGTTGGTACCATTCGAATCACCTTAAATTTGGTATGTTTACAAGTATTGTAGATGTTGATATGTTTTGCTATAAACTTAGTCAAACATAGAAAATTTGACTTTTGGAAACACTAATGCACCTTATATTTTGAATACGAGGGAATAGTAGGAGATTTTCGCAGACAAGCTCATCTAAACTCACTGGTCTATATATGAAAGGGGAACAACAGCAGAAGAAAAGGGGATGACTAACCAGAGACAGATTAAGCAAGCCGGGAACTAGAGTTCAATTCTCGATGATGAGCTGACACAGCATTTGGCGGAAAAAAGGCTGAAGCCTTGGGGGTGCAATCTTTACAAGTCCTGATTTCTATTGCACTTCACATAAACCAGACAACAATATTTGGTTGGGTGAACAAACAGGATGTAGGTACCTCACTTGTTGGCATAAACGTGATTTGAGTTGAGAATAATTATAATAGGCTGCTGCAAATTCTGAGTTGTATCTACAGAATAACTAACTACTGCCACTAATACATATCCTCCTGGAGACAACAGCTCCAACTGTGGAACATCAAATTTACTAATAGTATGAACTAAGCAGCTGACTGACACTAGCTGCTGCATCATAACGCCTTCCCTGGTGATGCACACGGCAACAAGAAACTTTACTCATCTGATCAGTGATCACAAAGCAATTACAGGAAACAGCACAAACGCCCCGGTAGGCATTGCCGCATCTCATGGGTACTCTTACCTATCACAAGTCTGAAGATGATGCAACATTGTACACTTGTTATTCTCTTGCTGCTGTTAATACAAGGAAACAGAAAAAACTACTCCTTCCGATCCAAAGTAATTGATTTCATTCAGTTATAGCTCACTATTTTATTTAGTTTACAAATATACACAGATGGACTATTATAGTAGCTTTTCTTTCTGTTTACTCAACAAAGTGTTTTTCCAGGTTACTTAAAACTTACAGGAGCTACTGCTCTAATAAATTAGGAAGGCGATGGTGGTAGCTTACTGGACTGTCATTCCGGGAATGTGGAAAAGTCTAGGCATGTAAAGAGTTTGCCGTTCAACTCACTGTATCTCGTTTTGGTGGTAGACTGGGAGTTGTTTCAGGTTAGGTTTCACCGTAGAATTGCAAAATTAGTTCAGCAAGTAAACGACTATCACGGAACTTCATCGACACGAAAAGATTGATGCTGATCAGTATATTTGCTACCATCATATACGTATATGTGATCAGTATATTTGCTACCATCATATACGTATATGTTTTCATGCCAATTTATGTATGGCAATGAGGCGGTACTCTGCTTTGCGACTTCCAGACCATACATCTCACACACTGCTTAAAGGATGACGACACGGCCATCCTTTTTCACTAAAAGGACGGTTATATGATACTTCTAAATATAAGTCTTTTTAGACATTTCAAATGGACTACAATAAACAGATGTATGTAGACATATTTTAGAGTGTAGATTCACTCATTTTGCTCCATATGTAGTCACTAGTTGAAATCTCTAAAAAGACTTATATTTGGGAACGGAGGGAGTACATAAATATAGTAACTGCTGGCGTTACTAGCTTATGATGCAAGACCGAACAGCAAAGAAACGAGGATTACAAACTAAACACAACAGATTAAAAACTAGCATCCAAGCGCAATAGAACAGAAAATAACCCACTGAGGAACCCTTTCAGGAGCAACATAACATAAAATAAACTACTGTTGAACTACTTCAAACACAATAAAACAGAAAATACATTACACAAGTTCGGATTTGAAACATGAGCTTAGACACCACCTCCTTTGTCCTGGTATAATCCCGAGTGTGCCACAAAACATTCCATCGGTTAATGAAGTAGTAGAAGGCTGGGACAACATTATAGGCTAGATACAAAAGCTTGGGCTTTGAAAAGAAGGCAAGTTAATTTTCAAGATGGGCACCAACTACATCAGAGAAAGGCTTGGAGGCTTACTGGCTAGCACCACAGGTTGGTGGTCTTGGCAGCCCAAGTTCTAACTAAATTTGGTATACCGCATCTCCTAGACCCTTCTGTTTACACTTTGAGCATGCTATGGAGGGCAAGTCAAAGGGGTCGTCCATTGACAAATCATGGGTATCCCTGTTGTGTGTGAATAAATCGTTAGTGCCACATCTCATTTCAATTTGAGCATCTCGAGAAGCTCTACTTCTGACTCAAAGCAGGCTGAGTTGATTAGCAAACCATCCGTGCTGGCGGTGGTAAGGCAATGTGATTTTCAATTCCTTTAGCTCTTTCATATTCAGAACAAAGAACCTAGCAAAGTCAATAGATGAACTCTTGGTGCCGTCATAATTCTTCAACACCACTTTTTTGAGATGAAGCTCAAGGCATTCAATTGGGCCCAGTGAATCATAATTGCAGACATTATTCATGACCTCCTGTGAGTACGTGGGTGGTGACAGGAACTGGACATAGAGAGAGAAAACAATACAAAAGAAATTGCCAAACAGATTAGCAATAAAATAGTTGGCTAGATTATCAAATGCTTACAATGACATTTAGAGCAAGCAACTATGTTTTATACTCACAATGACATACAGCCTCTCCAAGCACGGGAAGTACTTGAGAAAGTTAACCACTGCATCCAGATTAGGGCCAACAGAGCTGAGAACCAAAACCCTCATGGTGTACATTTTGGTTGTCAAACTGACAGCAACCTTTTTCTACAGAATAAAGTGCAAATATAAGAATAATAGCCTGCATGTTAAGAATGTCAAATGCAATTGATGAAGGCTGCTAGTACCTGAATGATTGAACTCCCAAGGTGGAATTCTGATATGTTTTCAGACAGCATTCCCAATATCTTCAGTTTAGGTGCACAGATTATCCGTATGATCACCGTCTCACCCCTATAATCAAGTGGTAGCAGTCTCTCAAGGCACGGGGCATCCTCAATGACTAACTCTTGCAAATAGACATCTGCCCTCGACCGCTCAGCGCAAAAGGCCAAACTCCTAAGAGTTTGGGAGCTGATGCAGAGGCGACCAATGCCCCAATTGTCCTTCAGCTCAAGGCTTTCCAACGCAGAGCAGCCAAAGAGCATGCTCTGGAGAACGTCCTCCGAGATGGTGACCTTATACAGGGTCAGTTGCCTGAGGCATGGAAACTTCAGGGGCAGCTGCGCAATCAAACTGGGGAAATGGGAGCCGTGGAATTTGGCCACGCGGAGAGTGGGTGAAAAGTGGGACACAGACGATGGACGCACGCACTCCTCCTTCATTCCATGCCAGAACATGTAGGTGATCTCGAACTCCTGTAGGTTGCCCAGGGCTTGGGACCTAAGCCAGCCTCGGAGCCTCCTATCTTGTCGCGACAGCGGGTGAAGATGCGGACCGAGAAGCGGCGTGCAGGGCCAGGATGCTCAGAGAGGATCTTTGCAATCAAGTCCTTATTCTCGAATTCATGGTCCACTTCGAGGTTCAGAGGAGCGGAGCGCCAAAGCGGACGCCACCGGCGGGACAGGACCTGCGTGCGGGCACCTTCCTTGGTGGGGAGAAGAGACACGATGCTGCCAAGGACGGCGTCGGGGAGGCAGCTTATGTGATCGACGCTCCCCCCATCAACATCATCAGTGAGATCGACAATCCCCCCATCAACATCATCGCAGTTGCCACTCCCCGGCAGATCTTGGTCGTCGACAAGATGGAACTTACGCTTCTTTGAAGCTTGCAGTGCCGCCGTCGCAGCAGCAACGGTGGCAGCGGCAGCAGCCGTCGCCACAGCCGCTGCCTCCTTCGCTTTTAACGCGGCAGCCGAAGCCTTCGCCGCCGCCTCCTTGACGGTCACCGCTGCCTCCGTCGCAGCCGCAGCCGCCGCCGCCGCCTCCTTGGAAGCAGTCGATGCCGCCGCAGCCGCAGCCAGCGCCGTCTCCTTGGCGGCCGCAACAGCAGCTGAGGCCGCCGCCTCCATGGCAGGCGGCTTGTGGGAATGTTGGTGTGGTGGGGGATGGGGAACGAATCGAGGGATTGGGGACCGAGGGTTTGTTCAGCATCGTGCTGCTGACCACCGTCCAAATAAATCAACGGTTTAGATTCATCCATCTCGTGAGGGAACAGAAAATGAAATGGACGATTTGGCGGCAACTCCATGAGGTTTTGGCGCCAACTTACCTGTGTAGGTGCAACAGACCATTTTAGTTTTTCTTCACGCTTAAGGAAGTCTCACTTAATACTTGGAGCTCCTTTCAAAAAACAGAAGGCCCAGCCTTTTTTGCTTCACGGCTTGTTTGTTTTGTAGTGCTACCTGCTTGTTTAAATACAAAAGCCAGCAATTACGCCAGTCGAATTTCTCAACTAGACCGAAAGTGGGGGTGATGTGACGAATGGGAGCAAGGAGCGTCGATCGTGGCGAGGCCGAGCCAAGATCTCGTCGGAGAAGGGAACGGCGTTGCGAGCAGTAGCGAGTCGTGACGTCCTAGGTGAAGCTGACGAAATAGATTGATTGGTGCAGTCGAGTGTTAGAAGGCTTCTATGATCTGTCGGTACATGGGCCTGCTCCCTTCGACAACACATGGGGTAGACCCGTGTGTACGCCACACGGAGCAATGCTTGAAGGAAACATCAAAAAGGGTATCGGAGCCAGATTTCCAGTGCGACGGTGGCGGAGAGGGGTGGTAGATGATCTCTGATACCATGATGTTAGGGTCTAGATCTCTCTTTTTTTATTGCACTCATATATACACCTCTGTCTCTCTCTAATACAATTTGGAAAGAAAGAAAGAAGACAGAAAAAAGATGTCGTGCCCTTGACGTTCTGATCCAAGCCTGGATAGCCTATTCGTTGTCTCCTTCGTTGGTACTTATAGTGAGCATCGCTCGATGTGTACACCCGGGTCCCGCCCCATGTGCTGTCGAAGGGAGCAGACCCATGTACCGACAGATTACAGGAGCCTCCTAACATCGAGGTAAGGGGTATGGGTCGTCGGAGAAATCTGGTCACAATGCATGTTTAGAGGGATGGTCTCAGGCAGCGGCAGAAAAGCAGTGGCATCCCAATCGAAGGCGAGGAAGCGGACTGACTAGTGTGGGTTGAGGAGGGGGAGGGATGCGGGTTGTCAGGGAAATCTGAATGGGGTGCATGTTTAGAGGGATGGTCGGAAGAGTAAGCTGTGACGTCTTGGGTCGAAGGAGATGGTGCAAGTCATCAAGGAAATATGGTCGGTGTACAGATTTATAGGGATGGTCGGAGGCGGCATTAGAACGAGTGGGGAGGGGACAGGGAAGGGTGGGGCAACGAGGTGGTCGGCTGATGCTAGAGGGTAGGCTAGAGAAGGGGTGGCTGGAGGTTGAAGAACGTTCTCAGGCACCAGACCAGATTGTTAGAAGGGAGAGAGATAGAGAGAGAGAGAGAGATTGCTGCGGAATATGGTGGATATATTATTGAGCCTCGAGGGCGAGTATATATTGAGTACGAGACTTTTGAGGGCAAGACACCTCTCCTGGAGATAAGGTAGGAGACGAATTACAAATCCTAGACTACCAAATACATGTATCCAAATATATCTCTAGCATCCCCCCGCAGTCGTAGTAGTAGCGCTGCGAACAATAGGAGCGTCGCGGACGGTCAGACTAGAGAGAATAGCAGCCGACAGGCTGACATCCCCCCGCAGTCGAAGCGGGAGCATCATGGACGGTGTCGCGTCTCGGACGCGTTGACTGTAGAGGAAGCCGACAAGTTTCTCAAGCGGGTGATAACCCTTTGTGCTGATGTCAAGCTAGCCAAGAGCGTAGGGTGGTGTAGCCATGGTCGAGGTAGCCGTTCGAAGAATGTCGTGGTCGATGTTGAGTCGGGGTAGCCGGTGTCGAGGGAGTCGCCATGGAGTCGTGATGTCTACTACGCAACCTTCTTCTTGTAGACTCGTGTTGGGCCTCCAAGCGCAGAGTTTTGTAGGACAGTAGCAAATTTCCCTCAAGTGAATGACCTAAGGTTTATCAATCCATGGGAGGCATAGAATGAAGATGATCTCTCTCAAACAACCATGCAACCAAATAACAAAGAGTCTCTTCTGTCCCCAACACACCCAATACAATGGTAAATTGTATAGGCGCACTAGTTCGGCGAAGAGATGGTGATACAAGCGTAATATGAATGGTAGATATGGGTTTTTATAATCTGAAAATATAAAAACAACAAGGTAGAAAGTTGTAAAACTGAGCAAAAATGGTACGACAAAGCTTGGAAACAAGGCATAGGGTTCATACTTTCACTAGTGCAAGTTATCTCAACAATGATAACATAATTAGATCATATGACAATCCATCAACGTTCGACAAAAGTCACTCCAAAGTTCCTATCACGGAGAACATAAGATGAAATTGCTTGTAGGGTATGAAACCACCTCAAAGTTATTCTTTCTGATCAATCCATTGAGCTATTTCTATAAGTGTCTCAAACAGCCCTAGAGTTCGTAGTAAAATAACACCATATGGCACACATCAATCAACCCTAATGTCACCTAGATACTCCAATGTCACCACAAGTATCCATGGGTCAATTATATGATATGCATTAAAGAACTTCATATTCATAATATTCAATCCAACACTGTCGGATTTCTGGTTCCGGCAGACCCTTGAGGTTCGAACTCTGGGGTGCGCGCGGAGATCTCTCCTCTACCAACTCACGTCCCAAAGCTCCGCGCGGAATCTAAGCTAGCAAAGATGAACAACACAAGAGACATGAGGTTTATACTGGTTCAGGCCACCATTGTGGTGTAATACCCTACTCCAGTGTGTGGTGTGGTGGATTGCCTCTGGGGCTAATGATGAACAATACAAGGGAAGAACAACCTCGCGAGGGATGTTCTTGTGGTGGTGTTTTCCCTTCGGAGGGGTCGATTCTCGATGCCCCTATACTATGGTGTCTAGCCCTATATATACAGAGAGAGGCCCTGGTCCTCTTCCCAAATATTGAGCGGGAAGGGCGCCAACTTGGCCATTTTGAAGGGGAACATCTAGTACACTTATCCTGACTAAAGTTGGTCCTCGCCTGTCAAAGATTCTGACGATAACGCCATCTTGGGCTTCACGGTGACCTCCATCTTGCCGTTCTGCTGGTCTTGGTCTTGTTGCACCGAAATGGTAGCCTTTGCCTGATACCTTGGCATGCGCTTGCCCCCTTTGCACCAAAGGGGAAACAAGGACACTGCGCAGGCCGGCGCCTGCCTGGCGCCCGCCTGGCCTCGATCGTCATGGCTTGCGTCATGGGCATCTCGCGAGGTACCTCTGCCTTGATCTCTCCGCCTCCTCGCGAGCCTTCCTGACGAGGCTGCGCCTGAGGAAGCTTTCTGTCATCTGCCCCGCGAGGCTCGGCCCCTCGCGAGGGTCTTGAGCTAGAGTTGATGAAGGTGGGCCGTACTGGGCCACCACTTGAGCCACGCCGCAGGCCGCAGGCAGGCAAGTCTGGGTACCCCCGTTCCTAGAACGCCGACAGTAGCCCCTGGGCCCAAGGTGCGCCCGGACTTGGCTTAGCAAAGAAGCGAAGGGGCAAGTGCGAAGCGCCGCGGGCCCCAACAGCCTGCGGCCTTGGGCGCCGCGTGGCGGTTGATTGGACGTGGGTGTCTCCGCTTCCCCACGACGCCTCGGCAACCGTCCGACGTGACAAGTCCCTGCATGCAGTATGAGTCATGATTACCTGTGATCATGGAGGCCGGCGGTTGGCCTTCTCCGGCTATAAGTACGGAACGGTGCATGCCCTTCCAGTCCATCTCTCCTTGTTCTTCTTCTTCTTCTTCTTCTTCTTCACCTCTCTCCTTAGGCTCGCCGCGTCCCACGGCGCCCATGAAGAGGTTCTCGGCTGCGGAGAAGGGGAAGGCCCGACGGGAGGGGCCTGATTCTCCTCCTGCCAAGCGTGGCCGGGGTCGCCCCCGCAAGCATCCCGCGACTCCTGCGAGGGCTGCCCGAGGCCTCGGCGGAGGCCCCTCGCTTGGTGGAAGCCACTCGATCGGAGGGGAGGAGAAGTGCCGCGGCCGCTCGGCCTCCCCGCCCCCGATTCCATTCTGCGGAGGTGATGTCGGAGTTCATCATTTGGTCGGAGGACACGACCGGTACCTGGCTCCAGCTTCCTCGCTTCTTCGCCGGTGAGCTGCCGGCCGGCACTGCAGGGGGGCTCTGGCTCCAGGGGGACGGCTGCTATAGCAGGGCCTCGTGGGTGGCGGTGGAGGTTTCTGTTGCCGGGAACATGGCGCTGACCCGCGGCTGGCAGACGTTCACCCGCACATCGATGCACTCTCCACTT